CGTTGATCTAAGATTATCATCAGTAATAGAAGCCGTACCTGTAATAGTAGTAATAATAATAATAAAAATAATAATTATAAAAATCTTTTTTTTTTACATAAGGGGCCCACTGTTAAAAACTGTGTTTGTTGTGGCTTTCTCCTTTCCAACAATATGTAACATTTTTTTTTAGTTTGTACTGTAAATAAAAAATAATGTTAAATACAGATTAAACTCGCTCCGGATTTTTAAAAATAAATTGTTCTTCTTTATTGATTTTATGTAAAAGTTTATTACAAATCAGTTTTTCTGTGAAGATGATTTTAATAATTACACCATTATGAATAAATAAACAAATGAATGTATTGATTGAATAATAGTAATAGCTGTAATAATGTTAATGGTAATAATACAACTATCGACAAGTTACATGCTAAGTTTCATAATCATATTGTATCGTAGTAGCTTTACATTTACCTTGAGTCATCACCTGCGTTGATCTAAGATTATCATCAGTAATAGAAGCCGTACCTGTAATAGTAGTAATAATAATAATAATAAAATAATAATTATAAAAATCTTTTTTTTTTACATAAGGGTCCCACTGTTAAAAACTGTGTTTGTTGTGGCTTTCTCCTTTCTAACAATATGTAACTTTTTTTTTTTTTAGTTTGTACTGTACATAAAAAATAATGTTAAATACAGAATAAACTCGCTCCGGATTTTTAAAAATAAATTGTTCTTCTTTATTGATTTTATGTGAAAGTTTATTACAAATCAGTTTTTCTGTGAAGATGATTTTAATAAATACACCATTATGAATAAATGAACAAATGAATGTATTGATTGATTAATAGTAATAGCTGTAATAATATTAAAGGTAATAATACAACTATCGACAAGTTACATGCTAAGTTTCATAAACATAATTGTATCGTAGTAGCTTTACATTTACCTTGAGTCATCACCTGCGTTGATCTAAGATTATCATCAGTAGTAGAAGCCGTACCTGTAATAGTAATAATAATAATAATAATAATAAAATAATAATTAAAAAAATCTTTTTTTTTACATAAGGGGCCCACTGTTAAAAACTGTGTTTGTTGTGGCTTTCTCCTTTCTAACA